TTTAGTACATTAAATTCATTTTTATCATTTGGAATAACCAATAGATTTTTATTTAAATAATTTTCATTTAATTAATCATGCATTAAATAAGTACATATTAGTCTATTTGTCAATGTTCTTAATCTCTATGAAAAATATCAAAGTGACACTTATATTGAAACGGAAAAAGTAGTAACTGATTTACTTAAATTTAGTAACATATGCATTTAATAAAAACCGTGTAAAGACATCTAAATATGAGAACTTATGAGTAATTTTCTGGATCATGAATTTGAAAAGTTGAATACATAATAAATTCAATGAAATATGAGATTTGAGTGTTTTCAAGATTATTATAAATATTTAATATTTTTTCATTCAATAGTTTTATCTTTGAGTGTGGCCATCACCAGCATTATACTTTTTGTAATAGGTGTATAAATAGCGAGCATATACAAAAATAAACCGAACTTACAAATATAGTTATTTTATTGATATATTTATCCTCTTGTGTTTTTTTGTTGTAAAAGTCTTCAATTTAGTTATCCTCTTATGTTTCTCATTCCTATAATCTCCATCCTGCAATTTCTCCATATAAAAGATGTCAGCTTTTCTATAAACACAACATAGTAAGGTACATTCATATTACTATGGTTATTTCAGATGCAAATATTTGAAGTTTGTATTTATATTTACTTGTTGAAATAAATTTTCTAAAATTAATATATTTTTAATCATTAATGAGTGCGTATAAACAAAAAATACCATTCATGACTGTTATGCACATAACATGTATAAGTTTAAAAAAGGTTTGCTACACAAAATCTCTTAAAAAAATCATAACAGTTTCTTTTTAATCTCTTATCAGAACAGTTTGACGACAAGTAACAATTTAAACATGAACTGACGAACACACACAACAAAAATGTCAACAACTCAATACATTAAAAGAAGAGACTATTACTTTGATGATTGAGATGAAAGACTAGGTGGATGACATTTGAGCTCACATTTGTCTTCGCAGGGTACTGGATGTTGGAAGAAGAATCCGCACAAGAACAAACATTTGTCCATGCATGAAAGTCCTTCTACTTTTTCTTCCATGCTCACAATTATTATTGACACCATCATCATCATTAAGATGAATTTCTTTATGTTCATCTTTCTTAAACTTCTTCTTGCGTGCATAAAAGACCATTAAAATAAGGAGAATTGTGTATGTATATATACGCATAAGAAAAGATATGGTCTTATAATAATGTTCAAAAAGAGATACGGTATTTATTACTTTTATTGGGTTGACCGAATTTTCTTATATACTGTACTAATAACTGATTTACTTAAATTTGGTAACATATGGATTTAATAAAAACCCGTATAAAGAGATCTAAATATGAGAACTTATGAGTAATTTTCTGGATCAGGAATTTGAAAGGTTGAATAGATTACAAATTCAATGAAATATGATATTTGAGTGTTTTTCAAAATTATTATAAAATTTAAAGTGATTTGAAAGCACATTAAACATTTCTAATTATTTTAATAATTTTTAAAACATTATTATATTAATTTAGTATTTTATAAAATATAATAAAAACTTTAAAATAATAACATGTAATACTTTTATTTTCTCCTTTCAAGAATATTTTAAAGACAAAGTTAAAAATAATTTATTTTAAAATTAAAAAAATTATATTCTATAATATTCTCTCCGTTTCATATTAAGTGTCGTTGTAGAGAAATTTTTTCGTTACAAAATAAGTGTCGTTTTCGGTTCTCAATGTAACATTTATTAATTTTATTATGTAATTTATATTTATATTGGTTAAAATGTAGTTAGGTGTATAGATAATTGTATTTTTATATCAACAAAATTTGTAAAATTAATTGTTTCCTTATTCCGTGTGTACAACTCTAAAATAACACTTATAATGTAACTCTAATGTAACAGAGGGAGTAAGAGGTGATATTTTTTCCAATGGTTTAAACAATGAATATCGTCATTTAATAGATTTATTGACTAAATCCACATTTTCCAATAAACCAAGATTTTGAAGAAAAAATATATATGATCAAAACAATAAAGTTGAATTTTAGATTATTTTTACTTGGTAAAGAGAGTATGGCTATTGAGACAGATATGTCAAAAGCTTAAGATTGAGTAGAATGGAATTTCCTTGAAGGTGTTACTGGAAAAAATAGGATTTCACCGTAAATGGATTGTCTGGTTAATGTCATGTATCACTACCGTCACATTCTCGATATTACTTAATGGACGTTCTCATGGGTTCATTAGACCGGAAAGAGGGATTCGACAGGGTGACTCTTTATCACCTTTTTTGTTCATTTTATGTGCGTAAGCTTTAGTTCACGTGTTAAATAGAACTGAAGGAAAAGGGGAATTACATGGTATAAAGTTGGCTAAGGATAGTCCATCTGTGCACCATTTACTATTTGCTGACGATAACTTGTTGCTATGTGAAGCTTCGGTTAGGGATAGTGAAGCGATTTTAAGAGGTCAGAAAATTTATGGAGATACGTCTGGAAAGATGATTAACCCCTTGAAATCTTCCATTATCTTTGGGAAATCGATAGCAGCGGATACTAAACAAGCCATAAAACAGGTCCTTGGTATAGAAAAGGAAGGTGGAGAAGGTACATATCTTGGTCTTCTAGAGTGTTTTCAAGGTTCAAAAAAAGACCTCCTAAATTTTATAACAGAAAAATTGGAGGGACGGTTACAAGGATGGTATTCGAAAACTTTATCAATGGGTGCTAAGGAAGTTCTGATAAAGTCGGTGGCTGTAGCCCTACCAATATATGCGATGTCTACTTTTCGGTTACCGAAAGGTCTTTGTGAACTGATTACGAGCGCGATAATAGAGTTCTGGTGGAGTAGTGGGGACAAAAAGAGAAAGATCTCATGGGTTTCGTGGGAAAAGTTGTGTAAACCAAAAGAGCAAAGGGGTCTTGGGTTTCATGACATTGGTCGTTTTAATCAGGGTTTACTAGGGAAACAAGCGTGGTGAATTTGGAATAATTCGGATTCTTTCGTTGCTAGGATTCTAAAAGGAAAATATTTTAAAAATAGAAATTTCCTGGAATGTGGAATGGGGACACGGCCATCATATGAATGGAGTAGTATCATGCATGGTAGAGAGTTACTTACAAAAGGATTATACCGGCATATTGGCAATGGAACCGACACCAATGTATAGGCTGAAAATTGGATTATTGATACCATTCCGAGGCCATCAATGTATCGTGAGGGTAGCTCCATAAACTTAGCGTTAAACGTTTCAGATTTGCTTATGGAGGGGTCGGGTCAATGGGATATTAATTTGCTACACCAAACCTTTATGCCTCAGGATGTGCAAATGATACTTCTTTTAAAACCTTCACTCCTATTAGATGACTCGATTAAATGGGGTTTCACACCAAATAGATCATATTCAACGCGTAGTGGGTATAAGTTGCTGGAGGCCTTGGTGGATTTTTATCACCCCCAAGAACACTCTCTAACACCAATTGAAAAACAATTATGGAGAAACTTGTGGAAAATCAAAGTCCCACCAAAAATAAAACATTTTATGTGGCGTGCTCTTTCTGGTGCGTTGGCTGTCAAACAACGTTTGACTACTAGGGGTATTCCGGTAGACCCAACATGCCCAGCTTGTGGTAATGCTGTTGAGAATATTTGTCATGTTCTTTTTACATGTGATAAAGCTCGTAACACATGGGAGCAAGCTAACTTCCCAGCACCCTTAGGAGTTTTCTCTCGGAACTCTACTTTTTTAAATTTTGTATATTTGATCAAGATAGGTACTAGCTCTACTACGGATATACAACAAGGAATGTCCCATGGTTGTTATGGGAAATCTTGAAAGTCCGGAATGCCTTTATTTTTGAAAATAAGATTCTAGCACCATCGTTTATTGCTAAACGTGCCTATGAAGAAGAAGCCACATGGTTTAATACTTTTTCTTGCAAGAATGAAAGTAGGGGTGATGCTGATGTAACAGAACAGGTAGGATGGAAAAAACCACCACAGGGATTCATTAAATATAATGTTGGATCCTCATGGTTAAATTCGAGCCATCTTACTGGTGCTTCATGGATTCTACGTGATGAACATGGGTCTACAATCATACATAGTCGCCGATCCTACTCGTGCATGCGTACATCAGTTGAGGCAGAGTTATGGGCTCTTTATTGGGCGGAGGAATGTATGCATAATCTACGTTTCTCTAATATAATTTTTGAAACCGCGTCCGAAAGCCTCCATGATGTTATCACAAATCAAGACAACCACCAAATTTTCAGCCATATACGTCAAAGCATCTTCTTCCTACTCACACGGATAGGTTCTTAGAGCTTAGAACACGTTCTTTCCGATCGCAATGAATCTGCAGCGTCAATTGTTGTAAGTGTTACTCGTGATTTGCGTCACCAATCATACATCGCCCGACTGGGTCCGGTATGGCTCTATCATCTACTTGCTTTAGAGGCTCAACTATAGAAGGATTGGGTGAGATTTCCTTCTAGTTTTTGGTGTCTATTGATATTTTTTTTTTCCTTTGTATGTTCTTGATTCACTTTGTTGTTTACCTCTTATCAGTGTTATTAAAAAAAAATTATTTTTACAAATTCTAGATATAATAATATAGATTTGAAAAGAAAGTGATATATTGTCGAATCCGGAATCCAAAAAGCCATTTTTTCATTTAAGTGGTTTGAAAAACAGTACTTGTGTATTTAAATCCTGAGTATTTCATCCCCAACTAAGATTTCATGGCAGTCGCAAGTTAAAAATCAGACTCTAAGGGCATCATTATTGCACGTATGTTAGGTGGTCCTTAAGGTTTTTTGTCAAAAATTTAAATGGAAACTAAATTAAAAGGAAGCAAACGTCTGTTAATTAAGAAGTTTGAACAAACGTCCTTAGAGACACGTGTCAAGCAAAGGCTTTAAAAAAAATGAAGTCTTTCTCTCTTCCTCTCTTCCTCTCTATCCCTACGTCTATGTCTTCTTCTTCCTCTGTTTCTTCAAGTTGCCACCGCACGAAGCTCTTCGAAAACGATCTCATCTCAATCGTCGATCTCCATCTCTCTCCCTGGGGTAACACCAAGCTCCGCTCCGATAACATCACTGTCGTTTGCCAGGTCTTCTTCTTACACCTTTCGATGTAATCCGATTTGATTAAATTAAAGCTTCAATTTTAATCTTGTGCAGCATGGTGCGTTTGAATGCTTGTTGGATACGGTTGAAGCTTGTGCGATTGATGCGTGGCCTAAATTGGTAAAGATCTGATTGTAATTTTTTTGATGTAACTTTTTTTTGTGAGGTGAGGTGTAGTTAGTGTGAGATGTTCATTTTTTGTTTTGGCAGAGTGATCATTTTCCGTTTATATACTGTGTTGAGAGTTTGGTGACTGAACACAAGTATGACAAGTGAGAGAGTTGTTATCAGAAGCTTAATTTGAACTCTAAACCTGTTGAGGATTGTCTCAGCAGTGGACATGGAGATAAGGTACTTACTCCCTTCCTCTTTATTTTGTGGAACTTAACTTTTATTCTCTTGCTGATTGCTGTTTAGCATTGTAATGTTTTAGATTCTTGTAACCATGATAACAATGTGCAATGGTGTTTTCTGGTTGACGAAATGCTATAGAATAGATAGACTCTTATAGGCTCACTTCGACTGTAGACTGATGTACTATGTTCTTGTTTCGAAGCTTCGTGTATTTCCTCACTGTTTTTTTTTCCACTTTTTGCAGCTTGAGTTGCAGTATGCTGCAGAAACGAGTGCACTTCAGCCGCCTCATCAGTATGTGCCCTGGGTAGTCGTGGATGGTCAGCCACTTTATGAGGTTCGTTTAGTATGCTCCTTTTTAGAATCTACTGAGTTCTTCTTACCATGACTAATCCCACGCTCACTTACTCTCTGAGCATCAATGATATTTAGGGGTATCAAAGATTAGTGTGGAGAACAATGAATTGACTATCACCTGCACTCAGTACTCTATGAGAAATGGACGGTTACAGTACCAGACTTCGAATCTTGTTGTTCTTGTGAATTCATTGGGCTTAGGCAGTTCAGAATCAGGGTTTTGTCTTAAGTTGTAGTTAGCAGATTGGAAGTGAAGTTTCTTCAGGAGATTCTCATGATCAATAGTAAATGGATGCACTGGATACAATTATATTGATCAAGAGCAACAGAAAGTTCTCTTTATATGTATGTGCTTGATTTTCTTAGCTTTGAACTTTCTTTGTGCATCCTTTAGTTGCCACTTCACAAAAGTCCTACCAATAATCTATAGTTTTGCAATTGTCCTTAATTTTGTCCTTAACATAAATATAGTAATAAAATAAGCTAAGGACTCACAAATTAGTCCTACCAATAATGTTGCCCTAACGAGGATTGGTGTTTTCTCGACAGTAATATAGCAGAAAGGTTCTTTATACTTCATTTCCACCTTGAGAATAATTTTACCATGTACACATTCAACAAAAGGTCTATAAACATAGCACCAATACTAGTAAAATCATCAACGTAAATTAGTTATCACAATAGTAGGCAGACATTATAGGAAACTTCAAACAACAGACTGTTGTCAAGAGTCTACAAAACATCATCAACATATCACTCTGTTTTAGTCTAATTCCTTTGATGCCGATCAAACGGAAACAGAGCTCTACCTTCATTTCTTACCCTGTTACATGTTAGAATCAGTATATGAGTTCTCTACTGGGAACCATAGGCTTCCACATAATCAGCTAACTATTTGTCATGGTATCCTCTACTTTTGGAAAGTATAGTTCCTAAGAAAGGTTTGAGTATTGCTTTGCTGCAACATTAAGAACACAAAAGTGTGTATCCAGTACCTTAAGGCGAGCAGAACGGCGAACGGAAGACGTGGGTGCAGGAGATTGGAGTGGGGAACCGCTAGATCTTTTGTGTCGCCGAACCTTAGATACATTGTTCTCTGGAGTTGACATGTTCGTATCAGTGGTGATTGAAATAGCTGGAGCTGATATGATGGAAGTTTCTTGTTGCAGGTTTTCTGAATGTGTTGGCAACTCTGAGTCTGAGAAGTCAAAATAAACAAAACAACAAGTCTTGGTCAAATCATAGATGTCAGACTTCAGGAGATAAAAGGGTCTAAAGATAAGAGCCAGAGTCAATAATTACCAGATATAGTGGTTTTCAGAAACTTAACCCTCATTAGACGAACAAATCCAAAGAGGTCATTGGTTTGATTCAAATCTTGAACCATCCCTTCGATATCATCCAATTGCGGGTTGCAATCCAATACTGATGATAATAAAGACAAATGATTATACATACTTCTTGTATTACTAGACTCATTGTAAACTCCAAAATGCAGTTGATGCTTGATTAAATAAGATATATGTATGCTCACATGTGTAGATGTCATTTCCATAGTGAACTGTGAATGAAAACTCTTGTGTAGGCCTTTTTGCATCAATGTTGGTGAATGTGAACTTAACTCCTGTAAGAGAAACAAGATCTTATATGGTCAACTTCAATAACAAAAAAAAAAACTCAAAGTTTTCTCTTATTTACCACGGCCTGCTTCAACGTGAAAACCGAGAGCCTGATTATACCAAGAGATGGCATCATTGATATCGGATTTGTCTTCCGTGACTTTACCAGCATTGTCCTTGGATACTGATAAGCCTTTATTTTACGAAAAAGAAACAAAAATAGATTAGTACTGTTCATAAAGTTTCCAAAGCGTGTTAGCTAATTGATGAAAATTACAATGTTACAATACACAAAATGATGGAAGATAAATGAGACCTTGTAAGCGTTGGGAGATAGTTTTGGTAAACTCTTCCTTCTTTGATTTCTGTAACTGCAGAGTTCTTCTAAGCACTTGGATTCGAGACTGTGTAGCAGAAATAGAATCTCTTAACCCCATTTGCCTTGCCTCTTTACGGGTTTTCACTGAACATCAAATTTTTTTTTTTTTTTTAAAAAAAATCCCAAAGCGTAAGATACACCAAGCTAAGCAAAAACATGATACTACTGCTCTAATAAGCTAAGTATCTGTCTGTCAAGCAAAAATCAACACCAAAGAGAGAAACTTTCAGTGAAAAAGTTATGTTTAAAACTTCAAAGGTATAAGCTTTATGGTAATGGAAGTGAATGTGATACCAAAGGGACACACTTTCAATGAGAATGTAATGTTTAAAACTTCAAAAGGTATAAGCTTTATGGGTACCTGCCAAGACTTTAACGAGCTCATCCTCTGCTTCTCTCAGATCCGCTTTCACATTCGTTAGTTCCACTACAAAACCCCCAAAGAGAAAAAAATTATCATTTCTTATGGCTCTGATTCTCAATCAAACCCCAAAACCACATAAAAACCCTTTTTTGATTTTTATTTTTAGGTAAAAATGTAAAGATAAAAAACCCTAATTTAAACCTAAACCCTGTAAAAGGGTAGAGATTTACGATTTGGGTGATGCGAAATTGAATTGTACTATGCGAATTTTTGAACTAACATTGGCTTTGTGCAGTGGCTTTAGCTAGCTCAAGTACAGAGTCGGTAGATCTCTGGAACGGAGAAGCTATGAAGGAATCGATTTGAAGCCGCTGCTCATTTATATCTTTCTCGCACATGAGTCCCAGAGAATCCATAGTCTTCTTCTTTGATGTATCTCCGCTTCCGTTGTCTCTAATCTGTTCCATCACCAAAGAGAGAGAGAGAGAGAAACTAGGAGGTTAGCCCGCCATTTGATTTGAGTTTCGAAAAGCTTCTTCACAACGCCTTTCCTCGTTGATAGAAGAGCTTGAAACGACGTCACTTTTAATTACGAAGCCCATTACATTGGGCTTGTTAATACATTCTAGTTTCCAAGACAGGCCCAAATGTAGGTCTGTCTGGATTTTTTTTATATGAAACATTGTTATCATAATTTGTTGAATAATTTTTTTTTTTTTTTTTGGTTAAATTTGTTAAATAATTTTTCATTGGATAATTCTATTGTATTGTATAAAAATTGTAGTTGACTTTAAATATTTTTTAAAGTCATCCAAAGGTTTAGAACTTGTGTTGTGAGTTGTGACTATTATAGAAAAATACTTTAAGGGCTCATCTTCAGATTACAAATCAAGACCTAAAGGAGTGTTTACAACGATTTAGAAGCCATTTTTGCTTTAAAGTGAATAGATATTTATGTCATATAATTATGGAAATTTTTATCAGAACTTTTTAAGCTTTTGTCACAAAAATAGACATAAAAAATAAAATAAACAAAATATATCTTTTTATTTTAAAATTTATAATTTTTATTTTTATTTTTTTAATTTAGAAATCCTAAACTCAAAATTCTACTTTTTAACTATAAATTCTAAGTCTATATTAGTTAATCTTAAATTATAAATGCATATTTATTCTAAATAAAAATTTATTTTGATCATTTGTTTCTTTGAGGACTATTTTTATAAAAACATAATAAAAAATCTATTCAAAAGAATTTTTCTATAGTTATTTTGAATTCGTAGTTGGAGATAAAGTGACCTTAAAACACTTTCATTTCTAAGTCGCTTTTAGAGTTTTTACAACCAAATTGAACAAATATCTTTCACCAGATGTAATGTTAATTTAAGTGAATATATAGCTAATGTTTAAACTAAATTTATTACAAATACCATTAAAATTGAGAAATGACTAAAATAGCACTAAATTTTTTTTGTCACAAATATAACAATTAAGAGTGTAAATGACTAAAATACCACTTAATATTTTATCAAAAGAGATAAATATGCACATATATGCCAAAGATAAATTAATTTAAACATTGGTGTTTAGAGTTAATGGATGTGACTTAGGGTTGGTTTAAAGTTTAGGGTTTAGAATTTAGCTTTTATGTTTTAGAGTTGGGGAATGGGTTGTGGACGATAAGATTTCAATTTTTGAAAATAGAAAAATTTTAAAATTTTCAAAAGATAAAATGCTATTTTGGTCATTTTAGTTTTTGAGGATTATTTTGTGACATAAACTTAGAAATGTGTTATTTTAAAGACTTGCACATTAAAATTCCAAACTTTGATATTATAGAATATCCAATTCTTGGGATAGTCAATAATTTGAACTGTGTATTTCATGAATATATATATATATATATATATTTACATTAAATTTCCAGTTTAAATGTATTTGATATTATAGAATACCCAATTTTTGTTTTGCTCAAAATAATAACTATATACATTAAATTTCATTTAAATTAATTACCGTGGAAACTGTCAGCTTCGTTGCCATTCCTCCCCCCCCCCCTTTCATGCCTTTGTCTCGTTTAGGCTTATCAATACGCAAAAAAAGTCGAAGCAGAAACATAACGAAAACTTTTCTACCTCTTCCCTCACACCTCCAATCCAACCCTAAATCTCACTTCCCCCCCAAAGTTACTTCCTTTTTGTATCAATCAATTTTCGATTTCCCCTGTGATTAGATCTGCTTTCAATTGGTGTTAGTATCGGTCCCCCTTTTATATACTCGTCTTGGATCCAATTGGAATTTTTTTGAATTTTTAGGGTTCAGATGAACAACGGAGAGGAAGAAAACGGCGTGGATGCAGCCTCTCCGTGTTCATCGTTGCATTACTCTTCCTGTGGAGAATCAGAGTTTGATCGTTATTGTAGTGCGAACTCGGCTTTAGGAACCCCAAGCGTGTGTGGCTCCACAGGCCCATTTCACGATTCCTTGGAATCTGATTTTGATAATTTCACCTTGGGACCAACAAGTCTAAAGCTCTCTTCTTCTTTCGGTAAGACGACACCGTTAGGTCAAAGAGTTGTTAGTGTAGGCGAGACAACAAGCACTAACATCATGATCCAAGAAACTAAGGTTTCTGATGAATTGAATCAGTTGAGTGATGTGGATGATCATTCTGATAGTGATCATTCTGGTAAAAATGTTTACTTTCCACGGAAGCTAGAGCGTAATGAGGAGTCTAGAGATGAGAGTGATAACCCTTTTCTCATTAATTCTTCCACTGCTTTTGGTACTAATGATTGGGATGAGTTTGAGCTTGAAGCCACTGAACTTAATGACACTCCTTTTGACTTCAGCGGGTTTGGGGAGCGTGAGAAAGAGTGTGGTGAAAATGAAGGGACGTCCACAAAGCTTCCAGATGTGGCTCAAGCTGGAAAAGGAATAGAACATACAAACCTAACAGTGAGCACTAGAGATACTCCGGATTTAGGTAATAGCATTGAAGATGTACTAAGACATAGAGATTTAACTGTTTTGACCCAAAGGGAGCAAGGTGGTGTAGCAAGAGACAGTATAACTATCAGAGGCTCTGCCTCTGGAGACCTGAGTATTGATATGAAAACCTTGGTGGTTCCTCAATCAGTTGTAAAAGAAGAATTTGTTGGAGACAGCAACAATCAAACTGAGGATAGATCTGTAGCCATGAACTACCTTCGGTCTAGTGATAATGATGATGTCCTGGATATCACTCCAGTTGAGTTAGGAAACGAAGATTTGTCATGTGGGACTGGTGTTCTTGATGGCAATGACTCTTTTGGACTAATTCACGAATCATCTGAGAATGCAAAACAGTCAATTACATTTGGAGAGTGCGACTCAGAGCCTATGTTTGCATCATCGAACTCTGATAAGCCATCATCTACAGATTCCCATCCTGTTATAAGTGCCTTACAAGTCGATAACACCGAACTTAAGGTCAGCTGCTTGATATATGGAAAAAAATATTTGCATAATTTTCTGTCTGTCTATCAATCTCACTCTTGTATTGGTAGAATGTATCATTGGTTCTGTCAAGCTCTGCTTCTAGAGAAATTGTGAATTAGTATATATCTCTCACATTTAAAGTTGAACAGTGTCAATCTGAGAATTTAATTGGATGTCGTTTTACTCTTGCTGTGTTACTGTTCTGAATTTAAGTGATTTGTTCGTTAAGAAAGGGCTGTGTACTACGCAGACTTCATAGATTCTACTGTATCTCCTTTTGATCCGATTTTTGATATTCGAATGAAGTTTTCTGGTTTCGTTTTACTCGTCTTGCAGAAGGAGAGCACAGAACTTAACGACTTCTATGATGATTTTGTTCATGATATGGAAGATATACTACTCGACTCTGGTGAATCATCTGGGGCTAGGTATTCCAAGAGTGATAAGATGTTCCAGCTACAGCTCTCTCTTCCTAACCGGGATGGGGGACAAACTGCTACAACTTCTGGTCTAGAGGATTCATCTCCAATAGTCTCCCAGAGATTTAGGATTGATAGGGTTGAAGTTGTTGGGGTAAAGCAAAAGAAAGGTGATGTCTCGCTGAGTGAGAGATTAGTTGGGGTGAAGGAATACACAGTGTATCTCATAAGGGTCTGGAGTGGGAAGGATAAGTGGGAAATTGAACGAAGATACCGTGATTTTTATAGTCTCTACCGTCGGTTGACATCTTTATTCGCTGATCAAGGCTGGACACTTCCTACACCTTGGGCCTCTGTGGAAAGAGAATCCAGGAAAATATTTGGAACATCGCCCAATGCCGTTTCTGAAAGGACAGTCCTTATTCAAGATTGTGTAAATTCAGTTCTTCAGTCTCGGTTTTTCCCCACACTTCCAAATGCTTTACTTCGGTTTTTGTCCCCTCAAGATGCAAGTTCTACTGGATCGGATTCTATGATGTCTCCAACAGGCTATGCTGGCGACACTTTTGCTGCAACCAGTTCTTCCTATGGAAATAACATCTCGCTCATTGTTGATATTCGACCTTATAAATCTGTGAAGCAGTTGCTAGAAGCTCAGCATTACATTTGCGCTGGATGCCACAGGTACTTTGATGATGGAGCGACTCTTGTGCGGGACTTTGTGAAAGCTCTTGGATGGGGCAAGCCTCGGCTTTGCGAATATACTGGTCAGTTGTTTTGTTCTTCCTGCCATACAAATGACATGGCAGTCTTGCCAGCGAGAGTGTTACATCATTGGGATTTTAATCACTATCCAGTTTCTCAACTGGCGAAATCATATCTAGACTCCATACACGAGCAGGTAATCTAGGTTTGCATTTGCTTACAAGCTGACTCATTGTTCGAAGCTTTATAAGTAAATCTAACACTTTCAGCTACCAATCGTATTTTGCAGCCTATGCTATGTGTCAGTGCGGTCAATCCTTTTCTGTCCTCGAAGGTTCCTGCACTGAACCATATTATGAGCATCAGGAAAAGAATAACCATTATGATTCCATATGTACACTGCTCATTCCGCAAGACACTAAACAAAGGACTCAGTACTCGAAGACACCTTCTTGAGAGCACTGATTTTTTTGCTTTGAGAGATCTAATTGATCTTTCTAAAGGGCCATTTGCAGGTAAATTCCCTTTCTTGCAACAAGATTTAAAGTTCAACTCTGTGTCTGCGCTCATGCTGACACATACATAATTTTCCTCATGCTTGCACATGCTGACATATCTATCTTCTTTACTTGTCATGGATTGTTCTTAAAAGATAATAAACTAAGATTCAGATTCTATATTTCTCTACCAGTTGATGTTTCTTTTTTATCTATTGCCTTGCATTGTATCTTTTATTCAAGAGATTTAAATACACTATCCTTGAATTGGCAGCACTTCCTGGAATCGTGGAGACCGTTAGGCAGAAAATTCTGGAGCATATTACAGAACAGTGCCTTGTTTGTTGCGATGTGGGGGTTCCCTGTAATGCCCGGCAAGCTTGTGACGACACATCCTCTTTAATATTTCCCTTCCAGGTAAGCATTCGATAGCTTGCTATGGAATATAATACACATAGTCTCCTGCTCTCAGTTCTGTTTGTGTTTGATGACCATATCATTATAGCCTTGTGGAATGTTCAGTGTCTGTATAGTGTTATAACTCAGTTGATGTTTTGTTCCGACATATATTGAATTGAATGAAATGATTAGCAGGAAGATGAGGTTAAGAAATGCAGGACGTGCGGTTTGGTTTACCACAAGAGATGCTTCTCAAGACTGTCAAGCTGCCACTGCGGAGCACAACTAAAGCCGAACAAGAGCCCTGCAGAGCATCAAGTGTTGGAGAAGAAATCTGATTCCACGTCTGTTTTGCCTCTGCGATTCCTCTCGGGTTTATTTGGAAAGAGTTCAAAGAAAGACACAGAAACCACTATTCTAATGGGTTCGCTTCCAACCAATGATCTATAGACTTGTTATAGGTCTGATTCTTTTATATATGTATGTGTGTTTATGTAAACCTTTTGCCATTTGTAACGTAAACCTCAGATTGTAAAACCTAATTTCTTTTACATTTTCTTGTAAAATAAAAAGATAATAAAATACGATCTAGTTAATTTTCTTTTACACAATATGAGTGATGATGCTACATACTAGATCCATTGCTTGACCCGGTTTTCACATTCAGATGATATACGATTAGAAAATGATACATTAGATTCATCATGATAAGTATCACGATCCTGATCCTCTAAGCGTCAGAAATGCTCTCCAGACATGCTTTTAGCAGCTTTCCGGTTAATGTTGGAATTTTAGTTGTATTTTACCCATTAAAACGTATTCAAAATTGCTACACTTAATTAGTTGTAAACTTGTTATTTATAAAGGGTGTGTATTTAAGAAAAGGGAACATATTTTAATTTGTATATGCCACTTTTAGATATTTGAAAAGCTGGATTTTACATGAATACTACACGTTCTTGCTACAAATTGACCAACATGAAACGTTTGGTCCACGATAAGTTTTTTTTTCTGAACATTAAGGTCCACGATAAGTTGAATTGCTCATTGAATCTTTAGGTACTTTGATCTATTATCAATGAACTAAGCAAGCCGGCTAGAGTGACCATGAACACGGAGCGGATATTCAGAATTGTAAGGATTCTGTGATTTGTTTCCGCATAGATATTTGATTGTTTGATTCGACTCAATCAGTAAATTTTCATATATTTGGTGTTCTGGATATTTGTAGAAATCAGTATTTTATATCAGATATCCGTTTCGATCGATAAAAACTAAAAATAAAATATAATAAAAATAAGAAAAATTTACTATGAAATAACATATTTTCATAAGATTGTTTTTAGAAAAGCAGCAGAATCTTACAAAAAACAAAATTTGTCAACGAATCTTAAAAATTTAATAACTTAATAATATTCAGTGAATAAAAATATTTTTTAAATATATAATATATATAATTGTATATAAATACATATATTTATATATAGCGGATCGGATTGAATATCTATCTTTTAAAAATATGAATATTTGCAATTTGCTTTTATGTATGGATGTTAAACTTTAATGTTTGATTTGATTTGTAAAGTCATTATCCTAAATTTTCAGACTGAATCAAGACTAATAATAGATCGAATAATATTTTCAGACAATGATCGCTACTGCAACGTGATGGTGAGTGAGAGTATCCTGGGTGGGAAAAAGATATATGTAAATATATTCCTTAATTGTTGAGGCTGAGGTTGATGGTTCACCGATCCATGTTTGTTCTTTAGGTGTGTCTCCTACTCATTATTATTTTATTTAAAATCTTATAATTAGATTTTGATAAGAGTTTCAAAAGGGCCAAATTATCTTTTATAAATTAGAAAGTTTATACATATGTATTTTTATAAGAACATTATTTTACTAAAGTATTAGATGATTTAACTAAAATGTATATAGATATAATTTTATGAAAAAATAATATAATTCATTTATATAACCACTTCATATTAATTTTACTTATATTTTAAACCTTTAAAAATATAATATGAATTATTTTTAACATTTATATAGATAGGAAAATTATTTTATTATAATAAAATTAATTATACAGTTTAACCCGTCACATACTTGATACTATTTAATTATTTATGCAATAAATCGTATAAAACTGTAATTGTTTTTTTTTTTATAAAACTGTAATTGTGATATATACCATATCATCAAATAATATTAATCTCTAAATTTAGTATTGTATATTAAAATTCAATATATTAAATATCTTTCAATATTCTAATTTAAATATGTATATTAAAATAATAATTTAGCATTTCAATATTTTATTTTAAGAAGTTAAAGTATGTTGTAAAATTCAAAAATATGTGTTATTGTGTATACAGAATTATTTTAATTTATAAAAACAGTTTAAAATGAATGAATTTGTTTTATCTTAATTAGTATAGTAATTTTAATTTTGAATATGATATATATATATATATATATATATATATATATATTATGGAAATATTATTTCTTATTCTAGTATATATCATAATCACTAAACTTAAAACTGAAACTTAAATGTTAAAATATTTTGATTTAATGTATTTTTGAAAGAGCCAACTTACAGTATTTTAAATCAATTTCTCGATAATCTTAAACTTTGTTTTTAAAATAACGCTGACATTTTGAGGGGGTTGTGGGATTCCAAATATCAAGAAACCTCATTGCTTTAACTTTAATTAATAGTATTCCTTTAGGTCTGAGTTGGTCTGTTTTTCCCCTATAAAATATCGGTTACTATGAACTTTAAAAACATGACAGAAAGATAAATGCATTTGACATTTTGCCTTTACAGGGAAAAACATCATTCCCTCCCTCTCTGGTTTCAAGGCACTGTCTTTCCTGAGTTTCATGATTTTGATTCCTCTGTCTTTACTTTTTATTGTCCTCTGACAGTCATCACTTTTAAAATTAACAAAAATATCAATATATAAATATGGATAACATACATAAGGCATGGACTGCCAAAATTCTCCTTCTTTAACTAAACCCAATAAAGCTCATGTTATTAGCTCAAATGCGGTCACAAACAGCCTTTTCCTTTTTAACACTGAATTATCTTTCAAAGGAGTGGAAGTAACAAATTCTCAGAGGACAAAAATCCTCAAAGAACCTACAGTCCAAGAACATTAAACATCTAATTCTCAGAAAAAAATTAGAAAAGCAAACAATAAAAGGGAATATTAGGAAATAGACCACCAGTATGTGGCAATACAGTGAATCTCCCCACACCAACGAGTCTGAAAATGACGAACATGAACAAAGGCTAAGTCGTGGAAGCCTTCTTCAGTATCACACTCTGTAACTGGAGATGATCCTTGGTAACACTTGTTGCTAGCGACGTAGCCACCATATTACTCTCCCCTTTCACTCGAGCATAAACTAAATTCAGCTGACTAGAAAGACAAAACTCACAGAAATTGACAAAAAAAAAGGAGTACAAAAATAAATGTGGGAATAAATGGTGGTATTGAATTTTCAGTGATGTGCTTAAAACACAAATCAACGATAAAGCTTGTTTTTACATCGAAATGGTTTAATTTTTTTTCACCAGCCATTATTTAGATCTCGAAGCGGTTTAACTCAAACAGTAATCTAGCATATAGTATATATTTATTAGCCTGGGCAGAGCGGAGGACCAATTAATGGCAACTTAGAAAATTCATAACATGTAATTTGGTGGAAATAAATCTTTTATTGTCGGGGTGGAAAGAAATCTCTAACTTACAATCTTGTGGATAGTAATCAATTGATAGTATAAAAAGCATACTGAGATTGAACTGAAAAAGTTGGTTAATGGATTCGACATAATGTATTGCATATGGAAAGAATATCCATCTGCTTTAGAATAAGCTTGATCGATCAAAAAGTTTGATCCATCCTTTAACTTTTTGTTACTACTTTTAAATCAAAATAGACGTAATATAACACAAATTGGTAGGACTAGACTATATGAACAAGCATCAATTAAGTTGTAAATGAACACCAATCTGGAAGAAAAACAAAGTAAGTCGAGATGTATGAAGATTTTGGGAAAAATAAATAAAAAATTCAATGTTACTAAACCTATATATATTTTGCCACAAACTCGAATATATTGGAGGCTGAAGACTTTGTATTAGTAGAAAGTTTAGAAGATCCGTCACATCTACAAAAAATTGTAACTGTATTTGTAAATTTTGCATTTATGCTAATGTGATTTTATTAGTTTAGATGGTCCATTTAAATCAAATACAAAACATGTCTTTTATACATTTAAGTATTCTGAAAGTGAATAACGCTTTTTAAAATTTTAAACGTTGATCATTCAGTTACTCTAGTAGTTGCATAGAGTATGACAAAAGGTGGACGATTCCAATCGTATTTTACATGTCAAGGGTTTTCTTAGTTTCACGATTAAGTACTTGGGGAAGCTACTTCAGTCTAACATTCTCTTTCTTATTATATGTTTTGTAGGCTTCGTTTCTAGTGAGATTCTTTTTACAAATGAAGTATTTATTGGGTTTATCAGATGACCAAAAACAAACTTTTATCACTCTATCAGATGCATCGCCATAATAAATGAGATAGTAATTCTTTTCCAAATTCTAGGTTTGGAAATATTATTTTCAATATAGAGGACTAACTACGAAGATTTGAGGAAGAAATAATACTAGTTCAACCAGCATATATAGTTCTGCTGTAAGATTCCAATATGTATTGATTTACAACATAGTTATGCTATACTATTCAATATATGTATTGATATACATTTATATTAAATATCTATATTATGTAGATTTAAACATGTGCAGCGACATAACGATGTTAACTAGTACAAACTAGTACGTATAAGGTGTAATGTCACAATCATTTGTTAATCGTTTACAAGTTAAGAAAATGGTAACAATATTTATTTATTTTTAAGTAATGGACTTGATTTCTAATAATATAGAGGTTAAGAAATAAAAAAGAGTAATTCTTATATGATATAGCAAAAATATCATCAAAAAATATCCAAGACTATTGCTCCATGTAAGTTTCAAATATATATATACATATATATACATATATATATATATATCATCAAAAATAAATATTAGTCTGGTGAATAAAATTATGTTTTCACAAAGTGAAGTTAAAACTGTCATTGATGAAATTATTATCGGATTATTTTGGATCAGACACACACACATATATATATATATATATATACAAAGAGCCTAATAAGAAAACGAATAAGTTAGAGATATGCAAAAAAAAAAAAAAAAAAGTTAGGCAATTGAAAAAGTTTTACCCCTACGTGTTGTCACAAAGGCAATATTTCTGCTTCTCCCTCTCTTTCTTCACATAAATCAAGAAAGAGAAAACGGAGTAATTAAGATAGGGTTAGATTATTTCTTGGAAGCCCAAAACAAAAAAAGAAAAGGGTAGCTAGAAAAAACATTTTGTTCAAAGTAGTAATGATAAGTTTCCTCCCCTACCTCTGACTTCCATTCATCGCTCATCATCATTACAACCTCACTTCTTTCTCTCTGTACCTCCACTTTTATTCCCAACATCATCATGATAGTGATGATGATGATTAGTCATCTTCATCATCATCTTCATCTTCGTCGTCTTCTTCTCCTTCTTTCTTCTCTTCACATCCCAAGTCCCAGTACCCAAGAGGAAGACATAGTCACAGAAATCCAAGATCAAGAATCCCAAGAAAAAGAAGAAGTTGTTGATTATCATCAAGATTTAAAGATTAGGGTTTACCTCGTCTCTCTCTACTTTTTCGTTTAGATCGATTCTTGATCATCATCATCCACGTGTGCGTACGAGATCCGAAAGGGGAATCAAGCGTCTCGGTCCGATCCTTCGCTTCTTCATAGCGATCTTCATCTTGAAAGTCATTAAACTCAAGTGTGTCTTTGTTACCTCTCTTGTGTTTTTTCTTTTGACTTCCTTATCATAAAATCAAGTGTGTCTTTTCCTTTCCTTTGTTGTTTTCGTTTGGCTTTTTTAAATTTATAAATCTCTATGTATCAATCACTATGTTCTTCTTCAAATTCTACTCAAGAAATGAAATCCCCAACATGATGTGGTTGTTAGTATTTTGTGTAAACTTATTAATTCCCATGTAACCAATTTGCTTGGATCGATGAAATATAGCAGAAGGTGAGTGTTAACTTGTTTTATATGGACGGCGCTAATTTATTAGACTTTACTATACGACCAACGATTGTATGCATATGTATGTGTTTGTATATATATATATATATATTGTGTGTGTGTGTGTGAATCGTTGAATAAATATGATGAATTTTTTCGTGCATGAAGGGTGTTGATGTATCATGGAATATAGAACATGATTACATGTCATACATTTTATATAGATCTATATGACTATATGGTTGATCATTCCATGTATTTACAAAGGAGTGTGTCGCTTTGCTACGTACGGTCAAGGAAAGTTATAAGAGCACCCCCATTGAGAGTTCAAATGGGGGGTTCACACGGAAACCAAAAAAATAAAATAATAAAATAACAAAAATCTATGAACCCCTCTCTCCTAAACTTCACCCCGGTGAACCCCTCTCTCCTAAGGTTCACCACGTGTCGGCCCGGGATTGGTCTAGGTCTTTCTTTTTTCTTTTTTCTTTTAAAAAAAAAATCAAAAAGAAAATAGAAAAATTTTAATAATAAAAAACTGATTTAATGAACCCCAAGAGGGGGTTCATTGATGTGGATGCTCTAATGGTAGTTGTGACGAAGAAATGTGTACGTACAGAAACGCATTTACATAGAGTTCTGATGATGGATATTTATGTTTACGCACAGTCGCACACTATCTATATATGGTGTATAAGAAGTTGCAAGTTACGTTTATTCTCGAGACAGCACTTATTTATTGCTTAGATCTAAATTGTTTTTAGCGGTTTTTGTCTTAGCACCAAAGCGAATTGACAATTTCTGTTTTTGTCTTTGATCCTACGTACTCCATTATATATCCACACAAATATATTGTGATGCTTTGATGAGCACGCAGAAACATAAACAAGAAAAAACTGTTTAGATGATTACTAGCTCAAATTATCATGACCAAGCTTGCTGTTGCATCCATTGAGATCAATTCATCACGTAGGTACAATGGGTTTCGGGAAGAAAGGTAAAGTATCATGAGCATTGGATGTTTGAAAGATTAAAACGGCTGTTATTGATGATCATATTTTATATGTAATATATTCACCACACAGAGTAAAAGGGTTGGTCATGTATATATATCAAATTTTACCTTAGAATAAAGAATAAAGTTGTTAATTAATATACAATGTTGAGATTATATATATCAAATTTTACCTTAGAATAAAGACTTAAAGTTGTTAATTAATATACAATGTTGAGATTATATATATCAAATTTTACCTTAGAATAAAGAATAAAGTTGTTAATTAATAAACAATGTTGAGATTATATATATCAAATTTTACCTTAGAATAAAGACTTAAAGTTGTTAATTAATAAACAATGTTGAGATTTTTAAATAACATGAAAAAATTATTGCTGGCTTTGTGTAGTATTGACAACCCACATGATTAGCCCATACAGACTAAATTAACGTTTACTTAATTACATGAATTATATATTATGCATGATATCATTTTTTAATTTAGCGATGTTATGTAGCTAACATGAGCTTAATTTCATTAATCCAATAAGTAAAGTGGGCATTAAAAATGTTAACTCTGATTCTTTTGTTGATCAATTAAAAACTGATACAACCGACTGTAGTTTAACAAAAGTTTGAGTCTACCAAATCCAATAAACAAAATGAAATTTGAACAAATTTTAAAGTCGGCCCATTTTCAAAAAGACAACTCGTAAACATAATTCTTCTGTCGCGACAAAAAGAATTTTTTTAAGAAATTAATTCCAATTCATATCGATGAGAGAAAAGAATTTGGTGAAATAGTGTGAGATTATTGATCAAAATCGAGAGAGAAGTTAACAAATTTTAAGGTTGATTAACTTCTCTTTCTATTTTGGTTAATAATTCCACACGATTCACCACCTTTTTTATTTTTTGCCTATTTAAATTGAAACATTAATTTTCTGATTTTCACCTTTATCGGGAGTCAACATTCCAATGTCCACATCACTTTTTAAATTAATAAAATTAAGTTCGATTAACTACACAATATCATTAAATTAAAGGATATTAACATGCATAACATATATTTCATTTCATGTAATTAGGTATACATTGGTTTAGTATGTATAGCCATATAGTCGTCAATATTTCACGTAGCTAACAATCCATTATTCATGCTTTTAATACGTGTATGTTTCATGTGCTTTCAGTTATTTAAAATCTCATTATTGTTTATTAACTAAAAAAAATTAGTTCTTTCTTTTAAGGTAAAATTTGAGATACATACATGACCAACTCTTTTAAAAACATTGAAACATTTTGGGCAGATCTATCTTCTTTCGACTTACAAACTTGAGTAAACTTCAAAAATGCTGAAAACAATCTATGTCAGTCCAAACTTATGTGTATTTATCTGTCAAAATATAAAATATATAAATTTAGATATTTTTTTCTAAAAATGAATATTCAAATATATGTTATTCCAGAAAATATAGAATATTTTTAATTAGCATAAACAAATAAACCTTACAATAGCTTTATTTAGTTAATGTAAATAAATTATTTTTCAATTATGTTAAAGAATTATAACCGAAAATGACCTAACATGTAAATAAGTTTTTTTTTAAGTTTAAGCAAATATGTTTGAATAATACTAAAGTTGGAATTTCTAATCATAGATTTAAGAATAAAATGCGATATTCCTACACGTTTCGGCCTTCTTTCTTTTTGGGTTATATGGACTATATGGAAATCTAGAAATGAGTTCTTGTTCAAGAAAAAGAGTGTTCATTTCATAGAGGGCGCTCAACGTGCAATGTAAGCGAATGATGAATGATTTTCAAATCGTAGGTTTCCCTGTATTAAGCCACCTCGGGGTGTTGCTAATACACATTGGAAACCATCCCCCATGGGCTGTTGAAATGCAATTTTGATTGTAGTTTCTACACTGAAAAAAGAATTGCGGGTATTGGATGAATTGTTAGAGATGATTCAGGAAGTTTAAAGGTGCAGGAATGGTTAAGATTGACAATGTTACATCTTCTTCTTTTTTTTCTAACCTTAAGGACATCCCAGACTCATGGAGAGGCCCAGACTAATTTTCAAAGGGGTGGTGCAGTCCACGGATGGACCCTCAGTCCAGATATTCAAATGGGCCGTAAGATAGATCCATATCCGCATGGCCATAAGATAAGATGTAGTGGAGTGCCTTCGAACAAGATTTGCTTAACAAATCCCAAAATTTGTCTACCACTAGACCACCATCTTATGGTTATGTTACATCTTCTTTGCAAGATGAGGTTTTAACATTATAGGTGGCAATGCAACAGGTTTGGATAAGAGGTTGGAGACGGGTCTGGTTTGAAGGAGACTGTAGCAAGCTGGAATGTATCATTAAAATGTTGCAAATCATGTTCGGTTAGGTAATGTGTTATATGATATTCCTCATTGGATGCATGCTTCTTCCTGAATGCTCTTTGGGAAGTATTAATAGAGAAAAGAATAGTGCTGCAGATACTCTTGCTAGAAGAGTATTAAGAGATCAATGTAATTTCATATTTTATTCATTACCACTACCTTGGTTAGTAAAATATTTGTATTGGCCGTTTACTATATAATAAAATCTAATGTTGTTCAGAAAAAAAAAATTTAAGACTAAAATGTTAAATTTATGTGATTGTAATTAAGCTGAAAAATGAAATTTCTTATAGATTATTTTATCTGATTTTAAAAAACTAAACTAAAATAATGTATACAATTTTTAAAGGAAATCAAAGTTTTAATCCATATAAAAGAACTAAAATAAACCATATGCATAAAAATAAACGTTACGTTTATAAATAATGTTCCATGATAAAATTTCTTATTTGGAGTCTTCACATGATCACAAATTATAAGTTTCACTAAAAGCATGATGCTTGATTTGCGATCTTTACATGATTTAGATTTCAATAATAAAATTTTCAGTTTTGGGACCTTTACATGATTCTTTGCAAATGAGGGATCTTCACATGATCAGAAATTTCATATGAAATGTTCAATAATAAATTCTTCCGTATAAAAAGAGGTTTTAATTTGTTTAAAAAAAAGAGCGTTTTAATAAAAAAAAAAATAATAATGTGGATCAAAATCTGGTTATGTTTAATTCACAGCTCAAATTGATGAAACGTCAATCCAAATGTTTTTGTCAACTAATAGAAGAAGTAATTATTATCAAATACGAAAGAGATGTAATCTTCATTAAGAAGTAATCTTCATTAACGAAATAAGAAAGAAATATAATCTCATCTCTACCCCCACTAACCCATATAAAAATCAAAAATGTAATCACAATTTAGTTAAATAAATAAATACATTTCTTCACCTAATTAATAAAACCAAATCTCTCTCTCTCTCTGTTCTCAGAAAAAAAACAATATGGAGAAAAATTCTTGGGCCGATCAATGGGACAACAGCAATCATACTTCGGGAAAAACGTCAGACGACGGTAAGAGCAGCGGCGGCGCGTCGGGGAAATACAAAGAGAAGGTGGAGGCTGGACTTGGGAAGACCAAAGCGGTGGCGAGTTCGGGGTTGAATAAAGTCAAAACAGGAACCTCGTTGGGTCTTAATTGGATCAAAGACAAGTACAACAAAACCACCACCAAAAAGAACTGATATTATTCATTGGTCTTATTATTATTACTTTGGATTCGTGTGATATTATTATGAATAATGGTTTGAATTGTTTGATTTTGTGAAGATTGAAAGTATATTTGAAAACCTGATTAAATACATGAGTTAACTACTCCAAGATGAATTGAAATTACTGGTATAGAAGACCCTTCTTTGGATTTGTATGGTGAATTATGATGATTTTTTTTTCTTGATATAAGAGTAAAGAGTCTTACAAAAATAAAAGAATCTAGTTGTTATGAATACAATCACAATTTACAATTGCTTTAGAGTTGTGATGTAGAGATTCTATGGGGATTAAAACATGGTGAATAGTATGTGAACAGTACATTATACCGAATAGCTAAATATGCAACTGTTTGTGTATATAAAGTGCAAATATTGTTATTTTATTTTGGACGATTGATTAATAAAAAGTTCGTATTTTTAGGTTATTGAGTTTATAATATTTTGTAATACCATCCATTAGAGAATTACGTGTTGCAATCGAATGATGGCTAAGCAATCTTATAGTGAAAACCGCGACAACATCAACCCATGGAAAGACAAAAGAGAGTTTCAGGACCATTTGAGTTCGTCAGTGAGGATGATACGGTCAAGGATAAGTAACATGATCAATGCAGTGTCCTTTGTATGATTCCTCTCTCACTGCGTGCATTTCAGTGATTGCCGCTTTGAAACCCTACCAATATCATCATCATCACAATCATATTTTAAAAATCAAAACGTTACAGTTATCTATATATGTTCATATATTTTCATTAATGTAAAGGAACAATCGTTGGCTCTACGTTCCAAATTATGCGCGTCATAATCAACTACAATATCTATCTACCAAACCAATCTGCAAACCATAACTAGACCATAACTAGATCATATGAAAGATTGCACATCCACAGGGAAGTGTAACAAGTTAACCACATAAACACATTAATGCCACAAAAATGAATACAAGTGCACAGTAATGATTGACAGAACAACAAAAAAACATATAATAAACAATGGTCAAGAAATCACTAGGTGGCCGTTAGCTGTTTTATATTAGATTATTGATTATGCGGGTCTTTAGACCGATTTCTAAGCACCTAAACCAACTCCTTCAAAAATCAGATACTAAAAAAAATGATTCGATTTGCCGACTAGACGGATAATTAATGAGAAAGCAACACCTCATTAGAAATGATTTTTTTATATTCGATTTGCTGACTAGGCGGATAATCAATGGGCTGACTTGTACACCTCAAGACTGCGATTGATAATTTTTATCTTATCAGCACCAGTCTTGGAATCAGAGGTAACGGTGATAGTCTCCCTTCATTTTGAGGTAGAACACTTTGGAGTCAGCCGTTGATGCATTAGTAAGGAAGCAAGAGTCAACAAGGTTGAAAATACGATCACAAATCTCGGTGATCTCGGTCTCAATCTTGACTCTTTGGTCCTTGATAATGGAGACGTGGTCAGTGTTTCTTTCTTCTCAATGAAGCGGATGCACTTCAACGAAGCCCTCCTACTAGCAATCAATTTTTTTGTAGGCAATAGACAAAGAGGTCCTCTCTTCAGGAATAAGCTCGACTGTGTCAACGGTCTTTGCAACTGTCCATGCATTCAACCATCTCATCATAGTCCTCAGCCTCGTCGGCTAACTTGGCCATGTAGATATTCTCTTACCGAGAAGACATCTCTAACAAATCAATCTTAAACACACACAGCTACCAGATAGAGTAAACAGCAAGCAAGAGAGATGAGAGCGAGAAAATAACAAGTGTCCAAAGAAAATATGACACGTAATTTTTTCTAAATCAATTAAAAGAGGAGAATTTGTAGACAAATTATAGACCAAAATACATGTTGCAGGTAAAGAGAAGATGAAAAGAAGAAGAAGAAGAAGAGTAGCTCTAATGATGTTGTGATGGATTCGTCTGGGTGACTTCACTGTACCATGACTTCCAAGCGTCCATGTAATGTTCAAAGAGGTCTTTCAAAACTGAAAATTCGTTTATCAGAAAAATGTTATTCCATATGTTCAATATTGTCAAAAAAATATCAAATGGATGCGAGTAATATGCTATGCTACCTTGGTTTTGGTATGAGGGACGGTAATCAGAAACCAGATTCTCAACATCAAAAGCTCTCTTGGAGCTATCCTCCAAAGGAGCAGTTGGATATGTACTTGTAGCTGGTGCAAAAGGACCAAACTGGTAACCTCTTGATTCATGAGCATCAAAGATTCTGTTATAAGAACTCTCTGCTTGTTTCATCTTCAGCCTTCTCTCTGTAGAAGCATTGTCATCATGTGTTTTGCTTCTCTTGACACTGACGTTTGATAGATCAGTTCCGAAAACTCTCTTCTTTGATTCGGCTTGCATCATCAAATCGCTGCTGAGAGTGAAAGTAGGTTCGCCGTTGTATCCTAACCATTTGAAAGCTGGTTTTCTAGAATCTATGGTGTGAGTCTGTCACCAAAAGGAAACAGAAAGGTAAGGCTAATGAGTTCATGAAACATGGCAGATGTAAAATAGTTTTAGATTTTTTACCTTTTCAATGAGATTCATTGATGATAAGACATTTGCAATGTCATAAAGCCTTCTCACTTTGGCTGCAGAAGAGTAATCAATCAATATCTCAAGTGAGTAAGCAACACAAACAAAAAACAGTAAAAGACACAAAAGTAAGATGATTACTTCTCATTATTGATGTATTGTGTGCATCTCCAAGCAGAAGTTTTGCAGCCTCGTCTAGGGAAATGATCGTAGCCTAGACATTCAGTAGAATATATAAATAAGTAACTCAATGGAAAACTCCTAGTTGGTAAAAACTTCTCACTTACTTGAGAGCAAATAAAGAGCTTGATGAAGTTCTGAGTAAGCACTCCTAATGATTTCTCTCGACGATTATCTGTCACACACATACATAACCAAGCAAGGAAATGTCAGCAAATTCACATTATAACTCATGAAGCCTATCTCTCATATTCTAGCCTAGAGCTTGGTACATGACTAAGAATCAACATTGCAAACGGAACAAAACTCCAAAAAACACAGGTACCTATTTTAGAGGAATCAGAAGATTGGCCGGGTAGAGAGGCAGGTTTCGAGGAAGTTTCAGTCTGACTACTAGAAAGAGGCTGAGAAGAAGACTCTTCCTCATCATCCTCATCATCAGATCCCTGCAAAATTCACCAAAACAACATTCATAAAGAGAACAATTCACCAAGAGACTAAAAACAAAAAAAAAAAACCAAAAATCCAAAATTAAACATACTTTGACATTCTCATTGATATAAAAACGGTGAAAAGTGTCTTTAGCACCTTCTTCCTGCATCATCAGGAACACATTAAACCCTATGAGAGAATCCTCAAAAAATCAAATTCCAGAAGAAAATTAAGAACAAATAATAAAAACTGACTTGTAGCTCCTTTAAAGCAGCTGGAATTGCTGAAAATCCTTTCCAAGTATACTGATTCTTAGCTCTTCTTGTTAATACCTAAAAATTCATCAGAGTCAATCAACATAAAAGATATCATTTTTCCCCCAAAAGAAAACATAAAGAGAGAAACAACAAAAAATACTCACGCCAACACTCTCAAGAACATTAACAATATCATAGATTCTCCGTCTCTCAACTCCTGCATACAAAACAAAACAAAAACTCCAAAATCAAAAAAAAAAAATCCAGATCCTAAATCACATTAAAAAAAAACGGTTTAGAGGAAAAACCTAATTTTGAGGCGGCGTCATCAAGCCCAATCGTTTCAATTCCATGTCGATTATACAAAGCTAAGAAACTGTAGAAAAAAAAAAAGACAATTGATTAATAAATCAAAAGAAACAAACTTTATAGAAAAATGAGATTTTGATTAAAAAAAAGGAACTGACTTGGTACAAAGGAGGCCGAGAGATTTCTGTTTCCGACTGTAGGAATGGTGTAGAGAGGAAGAAGAGGATCCAGGCATGGAAGAGGACGATGTGAGCTCCATGTTTGGTTTCTCCGGCGGCGGCAGATCTGACATTTTTTGTGTGTGTTTTGGATGAGAGGATTGATTGATTTGGGAGGGATTTAAGAATATTTGGATTCGAAAAATTTGGGGGGAAGTTACGTTAAAAAAACTTAAAATCTTGAGCGCCAATTTGAATTCTCTCAAATGTGGTTTTAAGCCTGTTTCCGCCTACGGTTCTGTCGTTGGTTCTGGTCTGAATTCTCTCGGGTTTTATATTATTTTTTTCCGGTTTTGTCAATTTTCTTTGCCAATATTTTTCGTCATGTTTAAATTTTGAAATTTAAGATCTCAAAACATAGATTGGGAGTTAACATTATACTAATTTTATCTTCTTTTTTTTTTTTGTAAATGTCTATTTTGATTGAATAGATACAGTTGTATGGCGCTTTAGTTTTGTAATAACTTGGTCGATTTGGATTTGGTTTGATAACTTTAGAAACCAAATCTTTTGGGTTTAGATTCATATCTTTTTCAAAATTTGATCTAATTAAATGGGTAATCGACAAAAAAAAAATTATACATTTTTCCAATATTTGATCTAATGTAATAGGTAGCTGACAAAAAAAATACACATCTTTACCAATATTATTAATTGGCAAGATATAGTTCTAGTTTTGATTGAATATATTCTCACAAAGTAGTGTAGAATACATTAGTTTCATTACTTGCACTACATTGGATTTAAATTCACATCTCTTCCAAAATTTGATCTAATTAAATGGATAGCCGACAAAAAAATTAGATATATTTATCAAAACTTGATCAAATAACCGATAAAAAAAAAGTTCAAAACTTTTCCAAAACTGTTAATTGGCAAGATATAGTTCTAGCTTAGCTTTGATTGATATTCCCACAAAATAGAGTGGAATACATTAGTTTTCACTACTTGCAAAATCTTCAAAACTATGATCTCTCTTTGATTACTATATAACCATTATTATGTGTCTAATGACAAGTAAACTGTTGCTTTGTTGTTCATTAGATAAGTTAAGTACTTTTTGTTTAATATTTTTATACATTTATGTGTTATACTTTTCAGTAATGCAGTGTTATCAAACTAAAGCTATTACAATGTGTCAGAAATGTGGATATCAAATAAAGAAATAATAATCCCTTTTTTCTAAGAAAAAAAGTTATAATAATTTTTTTTTTATAACACTAGCAGTTTAATAGTATAATTTTAGAAGAGACCGGTACAAAAAGAAATAGAAAATGGGATGTCATTAGTCATTATTAAGAATGGTTTGGAGTTCACCAAAACAAACCTTTTATTGTTGAGCTTCCAAAACGAGAAGGTGATGAAGCCACACCGGAACATATCTGGCGATGTAGGATCGCTGGCGCTGATCACGAGTGACACTTAAAGCAATTGCCTCTGCCGCTTCATTTCGTTCACATAAAACATGTTCTATACTCCAAGTGTGTATTCTTACCAGAAGGAAAGTGATATCGTGGCAGATATGGCTGAATGCGGGGGTTTGGTTGTCGTCATGCTTCGTGAGCACGGCATGTAGGTTATCGGACGATGTCTCAAAAATTATATTTGAGAAGTGTAAGTAATAATATACACTGAAATCATAATTAATTATATAAGTAAACCACTTTCTGTGTTTATTTCACCTATTATGGGCCTACTCAAAGCCCAAAGCCTATAACACCCAATCAACGGGCCCAAATAAACACGCTCTCTCGCTCTCTGATTTCAAAATATGATTGGATGGAAGGCGCGATGTTTTCAGACGACGAAGGAGACCAGATATCTTCGATTCTTTTTTTCCTCACAACACTTATAACTAACTTAACACTATGTTCTCCAAGGAGAGTTGCCGCAACGAGATACGTGCCGCTATTCGCCAGCTCAGCGACCGTTGTCTACACTCCGCCGCTAAATGGTTCCTTTCTTCAAAACCCTAAATCTCCCCAGCTCACTTACTTACATATAAAAATTCAATTTCGTTAAAATCGGGATTAATTTTTCAATCTGGGTAAACCGTAAATTAATCTAATTCCTATTGCCAGCTAAGCAGAATTTCTGATTCAAATTCGTTAAAAATTGAGATAATTTTTCGGTCTGGGCAAACTGTAAATTAATCTAATTACGATTGCCAGCTAAGCAGAATTGCTGATTCAGATTTCACTCTTTGTCTCAAATCCGACATGGGTTTTGTCTTCTGCAATTATTTGAGATGTCTGCCTGAAAAAAAAAGAATTAAAGTTTCAATCTTTTTTTTTTTATGTTAAGTTTCAATCTTTTTTATTTTAGTGTTTAAGTTTCAATCTTTTTTATTTTAGTGTTTAAGTTTCAATCTTTTTTATTTTAGAGTTAAGTTTCAATCTTTTTTATTTTAGTGTTTAAGTTTCAATCTTTAGTAGTAATCACATTGTTAGCCATCTCCTTTTTTTGACAGGGCAGGAGAGCAGCTTGTGGGGATAGAGCAAGACCCATCTCATTTCACACCTTCCAACACGAGGTTCCAGCGAGGAAGCTCTAGTATCAGGAGAAGGTTCAGCAGCACTAATGAATCTTTCTCAACACCACAGCTTTCTCTTGGGTTCTCTCAGCCACCAGCTACTCCTATTCCGGAAGAAGATGAAGTCGTTGATGGTGATCTTTACCTTTTAGCCAAATCTTACTTCGATTGTCGAGAGTACAGACGTGCTTCACATGTCCTGCGTGATCAAATGGGCAAGAAATCAGTGTTCTTGCGTTGCTATGCTCTTTATCTGGTATGTTCTGTTTCTTACTTTCTTATTTAGCATGAGCTTTTATGTTGCATTAACATGTTTAGAAGGTGGCTCAAATGTTCTGTGAGTGCTCTTTTGGCTTTGGGCTTGTAGACTGCTTATAATTTAAGCTTCCATTGATAAACCCCAGTCACAAATATGTTGTATTAGTACAAGGGATCTTAGGGTATAAGGGGTTTTAGGAAATATCTTAATTGGAAGTTGTCCTGTTTAAAGATAACAATTTGCAAATGTAGATGGTGTTATTTTACTCCACGCTTATTTAGGTTGAAACAAATAGTATTGTGTCACTTTGACATATTTCAAGCCGATTAAAAAATGATAAAATATACTAGTATTTAAAAAAAAAAAATTTAAATAAACATTTATGGGTTAGTTAAAAGGGTAAGAAATATATTATGTATGAAAAATTGCATTGAAAATGTAGAATGACAATTTTTTGAAACAGAAAAAATGCTAGAATGACACTTTTTGAGAAAAAGAGAGTATTGTATAACATGTCATTCACTTTGTTATGGTTTCCCTGAAGGCTGGAGAGAAACGGAAAGAGGAAGAGATGATAGAACTTGAAGGCTCCTTGGGCAAGAGTGATGCTATAAACCGTGAACTGGTATCTTTGGAGAGAGAATTGTCAGCCCTGAAGAGAACTGGAGCAGTTGATTCTTTTGGATTATACTTATACGGCGTTGTTCTTAAAGAAAAAGGAAACGAAAGTCTTGCCCGCGCCTGCCTCGTGGAGTCTGTGAACAGCTATCCATGGAACTGGAGCGCCTGGTCAGAGCTTCAGTCTCTGTGCACGTCCATCGAGATCTTGAACAGCCTTAATCTAAACAATCACTGGATGAAGGAGTTTTTCCTCGCCAGTGCTTATCAAGAACTCAGAATGCACAGTGAGTCCTTGTCCAAGTACGAGTATCTTCATGGTATTTTCAGTTTCAGCAATTACATCCAAGCTCAAACTGCAAAAGCTAAGTATAGTCTTAGAGAGTTTGACGAGGTTGAAATCATGTTTGAAGATCTTCTGAGAAACGATCCATACCGTGTGGAAGATATGGACATGTATTCAAATGTTCTGTACGCAAAAGAAGCATGTGCTGCATTGAGTTACCTTGCACATAAAGTGTTCTTGACTGATAAATACAGACCTGAGTCTTGCTGCATCATTGGCAACTACTACAGTTTAAAGGGTCAGCATGAGAAAGCAGTGATGTACTTTCGAAGAGCTTTGAAGCTGAACAAGAAGTACTTATCTGCTTGGACTCTTATGGGCCATGAGTATGTGGAGATGAAGAACACTACTGCTGCCATAGATGCATATAGACGAGCCGTTGATATAAACCCTTGTGATTACAGAGCTTGGTATGGTTTAGGACAAGCTTATGAGATGATGGGGATGCCTTTCTACGCGCTTCACTATTTCCGCAAATCCATATTCTTTCTTCCCAACGATTCTAGGCTGTGGATAGCCATGGCTAAGTGTTATCAGAGCGAGCAGCTTCAGATGCTTGAAGAAGCCATCAAGTGTTACAAGAGAGCTGCGAACTGTGGTGACACGGAAGGGATAGCTCTTAACCAGCTGGCGAAGCTTCACCAGAAGCTTGGACGTAATGAAGAAGCTGCGTTTTATTTCGAGAAGGATTTGGAGAGGATGGATGCTGAAGGATTAGAAGGACCAAACATGTATGAGGCTTTGATTTTCCTTGCTACACATTTGAAGACCAACAAGAAGTTTGATGAAGCAGAAGTGTATTGTACTCGTCTTCTTGATTATAGTGGCCCTGTAAGTTTTTTTCTTTTCGCTCCATTGTTTAACACTTAAAGGATGATATTATTAGTAGTGAGGAGAGGGCATTCATTGTTTACAGGAGAAAGAAAAGGCGAAGAGGTTGCTGAGAGGGATCAGAATGGCGCAAACAGGTTTTCCTTCGATGGATATGGAGCATTTTCCTCTCTAGTTGTTTATAACCTAACGTGCTGATAACATATGTCATCAAGATTGTTGTTCGGTGAGCCTTGGTTTATAGATTGCTATCAATGATTTTGACATCTCTCTATGTGCACTTTGACGTACAAGTTTGTTAGTATCAGTACTGGTAAAGTCCCCTCCGTTTCTGTTTCCAGGTTTGATTAGAGTATTATAATATGTCTTTTGGAACAAAGTTTGTTTTAGGATTACTCAATTGTGATTTTATGTCAATATATAGAGTATTTGCATCCTCTATACACACAAAACCCTAAAGTTAGAGATATACCCTATTTCTCTCTGTCTCTCTCCTTCCCACATACCACTTTTTCACCCCAATTCTCAAGTATCTCACTCTTTTATGGTTTTGAGCCAAT